ACCGCTACACCAGCTACTGGACTCGGATTATCGTCACTGGTGCTGGCCGTGGGCGGGAATCGAATTTGGTGATTGAATAGCTGGGTGAGTGGCTGGGTGATTAGGTAGGTGAGTGGGTGATTTAGTGGGTGAGTGAGTGACTAGGTGGGTGACTGAGTGAATGACAAGGTGGATAAGTAAGTGACTGGGTGAGTGGGTGAGTGAGAGAGTGGGTGAGTGAGTGGGAGAGTGACTGGGTGAGTGAGTGAGTGAGTGCGTGAGTATGTGGGTGAGTGAGTGGGTGAGTGAGTGGGTGAGTGGGTGAGTGAGTGGGTGAGTGACTGGTTAAGTGAGAGAGTGGGTGAGTGAGAGAGTGGGTGAGTGAGTGGGTGGGTGAGTGGTGTGGGTGAGTGACTGGGTGAGTGACTGGGTAAGTGAGTGAGTGGGTGAGTGAGTGAGTGGGTTGAGTGCGTGAGTGGGGAGAGTGGGTGAGTATGTGGGTGAGTGAGTGGGTGAGAGAGTGAGTGAGTGGAGTGGGTGAGTGAGTGAGTGGGAGAGTGAGTGGGTGAGTGAGTGTGTGGGTCAGTGAGTGAGTGGGTGAGTGTGTGAGTGAGTGAGTGAATGAGTGAGTGGGTGAAAGAGTGAGTGAGTGGGTGGGTGAGTGGGTAAGTGAGTGAGTGGGTGAGTGAGTGAGTGGGAGAGTGACTGGGTGAGTGAGTGACTGGGTAAGTGAGTAAGTGGGTGAGTGAGTGGTAGAGTGTGTGGGTCTCTGTGAGTGTCTCTATGGGTCTCTGTGGGTCTATGTGGGTCTCTGTGGGTCTCTGTGGGTCTATGTGGGTCTATGTGAGTGTCTCTATGGGTCTCTGTGGGTCTCTGTGGGTCCCTGTGAGTCTCTGTGGGTCTCTGTGAGTGTCTCTGTGGGTCTCTGTGGGTCTCTGTGGGTCTCTGTGAGTGTCTCTGTGAGTGTCTCTGTGAGTGTCTGTGGGTCTCTATGGGTCTTCTGTGAGTGTCTCTGTAAGTGTCTCTGTGAGTGTCTCTGTGAGTGTCTCTGTGGGTCTCTGTGGATGTCTCTGTGGGTCTCTGTGGGTCGATTCGGCAGTAAGTGGCGATGACGTCACCACGGTGCTTGTGCCAGGCTAGGTGCACTTTAAGGCCACTTGAAGCGTCGAAATCAGATTTTTTATTTACAGTGAGGGAAAAAAGTATTTGATCCCCTGCTGACTTTGTACGTTTGCCCACTGACAAAGAAATGATCAGTCTACAATTTTAATGTAGGTTTATTTGAACAGTGAGAGACAGAATAACAACAAAATCTAGAAAAACGCATGTCAAAAATGTTATGAATTGATTTGCATTTTAATGAGGGAAATAAGTATTTGACCCCCTCTCAATCAGAAAGATTTCTGGCTCCCAGGTGTCTTTTATATAGGTAATGAGCTGAGATAGGAACACACTCTTAAAGGGAGTGCTCCTTATCTCAGCTTGTTACCTGTATAAAAGACACCTGTCCACAAAAGCAAAATCAATCAGATTCCAAACTCTCCACCATGGCCAAGACCAAAGAGCTCTCCAAGGATGTCAGGGACAAGATTGTAGACCTACACAAGGCTGGAATGGGCTACAAGACCATTGCCAAGCAGCTTGGTGAGAAGGTGACAACAGTTGGTGCGATTATTCGCAAATGGAAGAAACACAAAAGAACTGTCAATCTCCCTCGGCCTGGGGCTCCATGCAAGATCTCACCTCGTGGAGTTGCAATGATCATGAGAACAGTGAGGAATCAGCCCAGAACTACACGGGAGGATCTTGTCAATGATCTCAAGGCAGCTGGGACCAGAGTCACCAAGAAAACAATTGGTAACACACTACGCCGTGAAGGACTGAAATCCTGCAGCGCCCGCAAGGTCCCCCTGCTCAAGAAAGCACATATACATGCCCGTCTGAAGTTTGCCAATGAACATCTGAATGATTTAGAGGACAACTGGGTGAAAGTGTTGTGGTCAGATGAGACCAAAATGGAGCTCTTTGGCATCAACTCAACTCGCTGTGTTTGGAGGAGGAGGAATGCTGCCTATGACCCCAAGAACACCATCCTCACCGTCAAACATGGAGGTTGAAACATTATGCTTTGGGGGTGTTTTTTGCTAAGGGGACAGGACAACTTCACGGCATCAAAAGGACGATGGACGGGGCCATGTACCGTCAAATCTTGGGTGAGAACCTCCTTCCCTCAGCCAGGGCATTGAAAATGGGTCGCGGATGACCCAAAACACGGCCAAGGCAACAAAGGAGTGGCTCAAGAAGAAGCACATTAAGGTCCTGGAGTGGCCTAGCCAGTTTCCAGACCTTAATCTCATAGAAAATCTGTGGAGGGAGCTGAAGGTTCGAGTTGCCAAACGTCAGCCTCAAAACTTTAATGACTTGGAGAAGATCTGCAAAGAGGAGTGGGACAAAATCCCTCCTGAGATGTGTGCAAACCTGGTGGCCAACTACAAGAAACGTCTGACCTCTGTGATTGCCA